TGCACAGCAATGGTTCATTCCCGGTATACAAAGCCATTGAATTCAGATATAAGCCAACGTAAAAGTTCAGATCGGACTTACCGTCATAAATCTGGAACCTTGGCACGTAGAACCTTTTTGGGGCCTTAAACCTATCCAACTCTACGGAGAACAGTGTTCTCAGCTTGACAGGGGATGTGACTTCAACATTCTGCCGCTTCCTTTGGAGGTAGTCCCTTAAATCCTCCTTAGTCCGACCAGGAGCTTGGTTGTCAACAGATTTCAGTCTTTTTGGTACGCTACTCCCAGTGTCGTTATGTGTCCTCTTGGACTTCTCTTCATTCACCGTGTCAAAACACAAGCCCTTCCCTTGGATATTCCGGAGCTCTTTGACATACGTCCCCCTGGTCTGAGGTGTCCTCTACAAGTCACCTCTAATCGACTTTCTGCGCCTGACATCCTGTGAAGGCCGATGTAAGGGCTCATTTTCCCTGCCATACTATCAAACTGTTGGGATTGTTTTCTGCCCTCCTTTTTGTGGTCAGTCTTGCCCCTTGGCATCGGTGTGTCCTGCAATAGAAACGGCGGTTGCATGACGTTGTTCTGCATCATGAAATTGACAACTGATTGTAGATCTACCAACTTGTTAGCTATTCCCTTCATTTCGTTGTCCCTCCTTAAGCATCTATCTTTCCATACCTTGAGATCGCTTTCATTGTAATACTCATCTCGGCCTAATTTCTTCGGGGCGTCTGCCACCTTGTCAACGTCCTTATCCCCGGGATTCTGATCCCGTCCTCCTTCATTATGATTTTCTTCCTCGATGTTAGGATCGGCATATTTACCACTCCCACATAGAACGCCATCCCCGACCTTTTCTTTCTGCCCATCGTTAGCCATTTATTCTCCTTACGTTCCCACAGACGGTGCCAAATTGTGAGTGTTGATTTTTTACCACACAACCAAACGGGAACTCAGCAGAAAAGCACCGGCAGAATAGATTAAACCCGAACAACCTGTCACAGAAAGATAAGAATCCAGCGGTGGTTCCTTCACCCGAGGGCACTCCGATGATCAAGTCAATAATCAATATCTCTCAAAGATAGCAAATTGTACTTAAACTCACAAGAAAGAACTTATTGCTCACAGTGTTTCACACATACCTAAGACCCACGGGAGTGCCCTGCTTTTATAGCTAGCACTGACCTGATCCCTGTAGAAGCCTCACTTCAGTGGACTCAGGCTCAATGCTCATTCTAGACTCTCAGCTAGATAGGGATAAACTCCCTAAAAACTTTATCTTTATCCAGACTGAGATCCTCCCCTATTTTAGGACTCTTGTCCCTTATCCTCTCATCTCGAATTCCAGTATCTCCGCAGATAACCTCGGCCTAGCCGAGATCACCTCGGCATTAGGACCAGGCCACGTGGCACCTAGGCTGGCATTTCGGTGTCACCATGGTCACGTGCTGTCATTCACAAAATGTCCCCACACCACTCATGACTCTAACTCTTGTGTTGGAGATTGATGCATTCTTCGCTTACCCGATGGTAAGTCCTTTCTTTTGGGTTGAGATAAATTTGACCTATACACCGAAGCTTAGCGGTTACAATAGTACCACCAAGAAATACCTTTTTTTTAAAAAAAAAAAAATTAAATCTTAAAAGCGTAATTAGATAATGTCCATTTTAATTTTAATATTTAGGGAGTGTTTTCCTAATAGCTAAATAAGTTATCTCTTTTTTTGAATTTTTTTATTCCAAAAAATATTTAGGAAGTGTTTGGGATGTTTATTTATTAGCTAAGTCACCCCTTTTTTTATTTTTATTTTTTTTTCTTTAGTAATTTTCTCCACTCCACATGTGTGTGGGGGTAGTGGGGGTGCCTTGGAGCTGGGGGTTTCCAGCATTTCTCTTAAAAATAATACTTCGCTACAAATAATAATACACAGAAAAATAATACATTAATTAAGTTATAAAAGAACTTAATGAAAAACTTCAAAACAATTAATTAGAAATTATAAAAGAAATCCGGTATATAAAACTAGATAAATTTAAAAAATAATAATTTTCTGATTCACTCTTCAAACTAAATCTAGAAGAAACTTTTTTAAAAAATTTAAAAAAAATTCACTAAAAACAAAAAATAAGTAATAAAAAAACCAAATAAGAGAAAGCTATGTGTACAAAAAATAGTGCCCAGTCATAGATAAGACACATGGGCCATGTTTGTTTGGTGGATTAGGTTGGATGGCATTGTTAGTGAGAGGATTATTAGTGAAGAGATTATTAATGTGGAGATTGTTAGTGAGGGAATTAAGTAAAAGTGTGTTTTTTTTTATGATAGTGTGAGAGATAGTTAGTAATAGGATTGTTAAATTATTTTTATATAAAATAAATAAATAAATTATTTCTATATTAAAAAAAATAAAACAAATATTAAAACAAATAGGTGCACTTGGTAAAAAAAAATAAAATTTTTATATAAAATAGACTCAATCCCTTCACTATTTTCCTAATCTTACCAAAAATTCACCTAAACTAATCCCCTTACTGATTAGCAAGCCGGTTGGAGTATCAATCTGCTCACCCAAACCATCACCAAACGTGCTATGAATGGGATCCACAGCATTGCTAGTCCAATCCGGCCTCCTACACCGCGAAACAAACATGGTGAGTCCCATCTGTATGAACCCACATAGAGCCTACCATTTGTGTCTTATTTGTTATTAATTTTTTTGCACTGTGCAAAGTTCACCAAATAAACATAACCAGGTCTTCAAAAATTTTGGACCACTACAATTGGTTGATGAATAAAATAAATTATATTACTGACCGTGGGAATTTGTTGTTGCAAATTGAAAAAAGAGTCAGACTTCCATTGGGTTGACCCCAGGGCCCCAATTGGGGTGTGATTGGTTCATTTTTTTTTTTTTTCTTTTTTTTTTCTGATCTTATCAAATAATCAACCCTCACGTGTGTGGGGAGTGGTGGGGGTGCTTGAAAACTGGGGATCTCGCAAATTTGTTATCATTGTAAAAGGTGGAATCAAATACCTATCATCTCAAAAAGTATTTGCTACCCCCATCAATTCTGACCCCATTGCTAATATTTTTTTGATAAATTACAAATATATTTTTTAAAATTTGTTTAAAATATGACTTATTTTTTATAATTTTGAAAATTATAAAAACTTCCTTATAAGAATTTTAATTAAATAGAATGAACGGAAAAAATAAAATTTTTAATTACTCTCATATATAATAATAAAATCACTTAAGTTGTTAATTAAAATATATTTATAACATTATTAAAAATTATTAATTGACTTGATGATGTATTATTAATAAGAATAAGCTATTATACGACTAGAGACTTGAAGGGATAAAATATAATTTTTAAAATCACAAAAAATAATTTGTAGTTGAAGCAAACTTCAAGAGATATATCTATAATTTACTTATTATTTGTTTAAAGTAACGCCGGTGATCCTAAAATATCACTCCAAAATTTATGTCCACTGATTTATTAGGAAATTAAATATTAGTTGACTGATTCTTAAACAAATAAAATTTACTTATTAATTGACCGAGTCCTAAACAAATTAAGTTTACGTCATTGGAAGGCAATTTAGATGCGACGTTTTAAGAGTCTTAATTTTTATTTTTGCAAAAAAAATATTTTTTTAGTAGAGAACAAAACCGACACGAGTTTCAGATTTATAGCACCTAGTTCTATTCCAGTCAAAAGTCCATACAGATCTAAATATTAAAAAAAAAAATGGAGGAAGAATGGTTTAGATCATGATCAAGAAAGCAGATCAATATCAATTGTACAGCTTATTTAGACATATTAATTTGTAAATTTCCCGTGTGAAAATGGATTACCAGCTGCTTTTTCAGACTTTTCAAAAGTTATCTAGTGCAATGCATGTATTGACTATTCCAGAATTAGTACAACAGAAAAACATGACCAATTAATGAAGATTTCTTCAACATTCTAGATAGACAACACTGCTAAATACCATGTTCTAATACTTCTGTTTCTACGTTGGTGACTTGATTTTAAATAACACTATCGGAATATATATCGACATCGATGATATAATTATATATTAGTTAATATAAAAGAATAATGATATATTAATAAAAAACGATTTGAAAGGCTATAATTACGTTAATAAATGATATAGAGTAGTGATTGGTAGCTCGAATTTGAGCCCCCGAATCCCCCGAATTCAAAAAACGACGTCGTTTTTGAATTTTTTTTTTTTTTTTAGAAGAAGAAAATCAGAGGAAGAAGGAGGAGAAGAAGAAGAAGAAGAAGAAGGAGAACTGGAGAGGAGGGGGCCAACAAAATCGGGCTGGAGGCGGAGGCGGGGCCAGAGCTGCGACAATCGGAGCTGCTGCTGCGACGATCAGCCGGTCGACCTACCATCGATCAGCGGCGGCGGAGGCAAAGGAGGGGCCCTCTCTCTCTCTCTCTCCATTCCCTCTTCTCTTTCTCTCTTTCTCTCTTTCTCTTCTCTTTCTCTCTTTCTGGTTGTTGGGGGGGAGGGGGAATTTCGGGGGAAAAATCTTTATCCAATGATATAATAGGTAATGATCAATATTTAAAACCTGATTGATGATGCTAAAAACCTTAGTTGAAATGATAACTGGGACAAATTAGTTGGCATGTGATTTAAAAATGAGTAATGTTAGGGATCATGAAAAAAATATCATGAAGATGATTATGAAAAATTCTCCATCTTTGGATTACACATACAATAATACACCACAAACTAATCAAATGATGAAAAATCTACATAATGCATTTTATGATATTTTTTTCATGATCTCTAATATTATTCTTTAAAAATTATCAAGCCACTAACATGCCCATATACATATATACAAAATTATCTTGTATTTGTCTACCCATAATCACTCCTTAACCGTAATACCATTAATTAGATGACCGTAATACCAATTTTGAGATTGACTGTTTAACGGCTAGTTAAAAAATTCTTAGACATCTTATTATTTGTAATCCCATGCACATCTTCAACCTCCAAAATTGGCCAGTTTTGGGGATCACACCAAGCCAGGAATTGATATCAATTGTTACATTAAGAAATGTGATACAAAGTCTTATGTACATGTGTTCTTGTGAAATTTCACATCAAAATCTTCTGATCAAAATTGAAGTAATGTCTTCTTCATTTACAACAATGAACGATGAATTAATGTCTTTCTACAAGAAGAATTCAGGAAATGCCTTTATGTAATAGATTTTTGTGCGCAAGTATACAAGCCTTAAACAAACAAACACCTTCATAAAAATGGAGGAGAAGAGGAGCCATAACCGATACAACCAGGTCGGCTGCTTAAAATCTTAACCAACATGGCTAGGACCTCCTTCATGTTTGGCCTAGCCTGTGGCACTTCTGCTATACACCTTATCCCAACCTTTAGTAACTCACACATCTCCCCTGCGCCGTCAGCAAGCCCAAACCCCAAAACCGCCACTGGTATCATGGCTCGGTTTCCATTTCCCATGACCCTTCTGGCCCACTCAACTAGACACTCTTCCCCTCCATCCAAAGCGCGCCTCCCGGTAGCTAGCTCCATTGCTAGTACTCCAAAGCTATACACATCGCCTTTTGTAGTGGCTTTCCACGTCTGGCCATATTCAGGAGCAACATAGCCAATCGTTCCAGCCACCGTCGTGCTCACGTGGCTATTTCCATCATCAAAAATTCTTGCAAGGCCGAAATCTGTGACACGAGCCTTCCCATCCTTGTCAAGCAGGACATTGCTCGCCTTGACATCTCTGTGCACAATAGCAGGGAAACACTCGTGGTGTAGGAAGACTAAAGCATGTGCCACGTCTATTGCAATATCAATTCTACGCCTCCATGTAAGCCTTGTTCGATCTGAAACAAGATCTTCTAAGCTCCCGCCTTCCATGTACTCGTAAACTAATAATTTCTCCGACCCATCAAGGCACCACCCATAGAGTGTCACAAGATTTTGGTGTGGCCAACTGAAGCCATTTCCACTTAGAACCTCCATTTCTGCTCGGAACGCTTTTTCACCCTCGATACCCTCTCTTTGTAGCTTCTTTACCGCTACTTTTCTCCCATCGGGCAACAATCCTCTGTACACGGTTCCAAATCCTCCCCTCCCGATAACTCTGTCATCCGAGAAGTTCATTGTAGCCTTCAAAATGTCGTCGTGTGTAAATACTGCTTTGTCTAGACGAATGACCTTTACAGTACCTGACAACCATGGAGAAGACGTGCCTGAACTTGACAAAAAATCATGTTGGACCTTTGTATCCTTCAAGACATATCCAGGCGTGTATACTGGATTCTTCGCGACAAGAAAGATTATGAGTGTCAGAATCCCACACACTAGTAAAGCCATTATCAGAGCCGTAAACACCAAAAATGGACCTAATTTTACACGCTTCATCGATTTCTTTTCATTTTTCGTTGTTGGACTATCTGTGGTGTTCTTCAAGAATGAAGGCAAGCGTAAAAATGGGTCGCCGAGGAAAGACTCTTTCTCAAATGTTGCCAATTGTCCGGTTGTTGGGATTACGCCAGTGATGGATGGATTGTATGACACGTTGAACTTGTTCAATTCGCTTAAATTGTTCAAGTTTGCTGGGAAAGCTCCAGAGAAATTGTTGCAAGATAAATCAAGGGTTTGTAAGCACTTGATGTTCCCAATCTCCGCTGGAATTTCGCCAGAAAACTTGTTTTGTGAAATGTTGAGCACTACGAGTGGCATTAGTCCAATCTCTGGAGGAAGATCACCAAAAAATCCATTAATCCCCAAATGCAGCATACTAAAGTTTTGCATCTTACCAATCTCAATTGGGATTTCACCGGACAATTGATTACCACTGAGTTGAACATAACCCGAGATCTGAAATGTCCGCAAACCACCAACACACGCCGGGAATATGCCATTCCCTTTAAGCAAACTATCCCAAATGCTTCTACATTTCTTCCTTGTAAGAAGTGTATACGCAAAACTAAATGGAGGGTAGTTTGCCGGTATCCACCTCTTCATCGCTAGACACTCGCCTGAACCAGCAATAGCCCGATCATTCTGTCTATTTTGTTGGAATGTTGGCGTTGCGTTAATCCCAATTTTTGTCAACTCAGATGGGATTGGCCCGGAAAGTTGATTGTTCGCAAGGTTTAACCACAACAAGCTCCTGCAATTCCCCAACTCGGGTGGGATTTCACCGGTTAGTGCATTGTTGGCAAGCATCAACCACAAGAGTGAGCTCAGATTTCCAATACTTCGTGGAATTGATCCGTTTAGCATATTGAAGGATAGATCAAGAGCTTGAAGGCCTTGCAAATTTCCATACTCGAGAGGAATTTTTCCAGTAAATTGATTGTAAGCAAGAATCAAGAACTTCAAGCTTGTCATATGAGAGATTTCGACCGGTAATGGACCTGAAAAGTTGTTGAAGCTCAAGTCTAATCTGAAAATGTTCTTCAAGTTGAGAATTCCTGATGAAATCATCCCACCGGTGTATGAATTCGAATGCAATACAAGGAACTTAACCTGATTGAATCGCCCGAAAATGTCTTGAATGTTACCTTCAAAATTGTTTGTGCTCAAATCCAAAAAGGTCAAGTTTCCCAACCCAAGCAAAGACTCTGGAATTTTTCTCGAGAAAGTGTTGTTTCCCAAGAAAAGTCCTTTCAGGCTCGAAATTTCACCAATCTCTGCTGGAATTTGACCCGTGAAATTGTTTTCCGATAGATTCAAAACCTCCAATTCTCTACAGTTGGAAATTTCCTTAGGAAATTCCCCGGCAAAAGCATTTCCCGACAAGTCCAACACTTTCAGAGTACAATTTCCGGGAAAATTTGCCGGGGAAATCACCCCAATTAACACGTTTTCGGAAACAGAAAATTCTTGAAGCCTCGCGAAACCCGGCCAGACTTTGCCGGAGAAATTGTTGGCGCTCAGGTCAAGAAACTGCAAATTCCGGCACGAATCGAAGTGGTCGAGAACAGTACCGGTGAAACTGTTGGTTGATAAATTGGCTAAAACCAAACTGTCACAAATTCCAGGGAAAGTTAACTGAATTCCACCAGAAAGTCTGTTCATGGACACGTCGAGAACCTCCAATTTATTGAGTCCGGTCAAGTTGAGCTCGCCCGCAATGAGATTGTGAGACAAATTCAAAAATTTTAGGCTCCGGCACCGCCCTAAGTCTGCCGGAATTTTACCGGAAATGGTGTTTCCGGAGAGATTGAGATGGGTTAGGGCGGTGAAAGCCGAGAAGTTTCCGAACATGCCACCGGAGATTTCGCTGCCAGAGAGATCAATGCCGGTGACACGATCTCCGAAGCATGAAATTCCGGGCCACGCGCAAGGGGGCATGCTGGGTTGATTCCAGTCAGAGTATCTTCCTCGATGCATGTGATTCTGATACTCGAGGTAGATTTTCAAGCTCAGCAATACTTCTTTGTCAGAGTCTAATAAATCTCCCACAACAATTGTACCTAAATCTTTAAAATCATCAGTAAATTTAACTCAAAAGATTTTTGGGTTATCAATGTCAAATCAAACCCACAAAATCTATCATCTTTCAAAGCTCAAAACCAAATTTTTGAGGCTGAATTTTCATGGAAAGCTTGACAAGAAAGTTGGATCACAAAACCCAAATGAAAAAGAAAAACAAGAACCAAAAGTAGAGGGAGAATGAATTGGATTAGTACCTGTAATTAAGAGTAATAAAAAGATTAACGTGACGCGAAAAGCATGATGATCGACTTTGTCATTTGACATGATCTGTGCGTATAATCTAATCTTCCTTTTCTTCTTCTCTGTTTTTTCTAGTTCATTCAGAGTTGTTGGATGGGTGTTAGATTAAGAGAGAAAGAGACAGATTAATATAGAATGTAGGAAATGAAAGTGTTTAAATTTAATTTTGATGGGTTAGTTTTTATCGTTTTATTTTTAAGAGAGTTGAATATTTGATGTGTTAAAGACTAATGTTGTTTGCTTTGGTGAAGAGAAGAACACGAGGAGGTTAGAAGAACTTGGAGGGAAGGTGTAGTGTAGCAGCAGGAGGGACGAAAAAGAGCCGCCCCTTTTGACTTTACATGCAAACATTGGGCTCTCTCTCTCTAGGAAAAGAGTCAGCGGGTATGTTTTAAATTTTAATGTTTATTTTTTTTTTTTTTAAATGAAAACACACGTGTGTAATTTATAATTGAATTGGATAATTATCAGAGTCATTTGAAGCAGTTGGAGTGAATTGGAGCAGTTTATAACCGCTTTGGAGACATTGTTTGAAAAAAAAAAAGAATTATTTGGCATCTATACCATGTATATTTTATGAGTAATTATTAACAATTAGTACACACGATATGCATGTAATTTAAATAAGTAAAAATAAAATAAAATATTTACTATATACTTTGTGTTAATTAAGTGAAAAAGTCATCTTCATTTGTCCCAAGTCCAATGTTTGAGTATAAGAAGCCAAAGCTTCATATGACAAAAAATGTCCTCTTTATATATAGATAGATGTTATGTACGTTATAATATATGTGAGTTTAATTATCACAATTATCATAACCCAACTAAATCTTATGAGAGTCATAATTAAAAAAAAATTACAATAAAAAATATATAATTAAAGAGATCTTGAATCATAACCAATAAATAGTAACTAACACCACACAATTCATAAATCATAACCAAATATTATAAATGTTGTAACTATGGTGCCCATAGAATTTCCCTTACTTTACATATAAGCATTGATGTGGTACAAACAAATTTTCCTTATAAAATTTTTATGGATAGATTATATTTTTCAGTTGAATTTCAATTTTAATTGCTCATCTTTTGATTTCAATAACGTTCTCAAACTTTATTATGTGATTCTCATGTTACTTACCATTAAAATTTTGAATGGAAAGTGCTCATTTAAGGGCTATGTGAGAACATTTTAAAAGCGAAGGAAAAAAAATTTTACTTTTTCTTCTTTAATTTTTATTCAAATTTTATTTTTGCCCCTTATGTTTCAACTTTCATTTAAATTTTAAATAGTGAGGAGTTGGGAGGTCATATTGAAACACGAATCAAAAATTTAATTATTGCAATTGAAAAATTGGATAAAAGTGAATTTTAAGTGAAGATTTAAAAGTGAAAAGTATAATTTATCCAAATGCCTTTTTATTAATTGATGTAAATTTGTAAAAATATTTATATAGCACTACTTTATAATTTTATATAGTTCTAGAACCTAATGACTGATTTCCATTTTTTAATTACTTTTTGGTCAATTCTCATTCCTCATGCCTAGTTTGTACACGCTATTAGTATTGCGGCAATGTAAAAAAATAATAAAATAAAATTTGCTCGAAAGTGACCATCATCATCAACACATAAAATATGTGGATTAAATTAATTTTATTTTTGTTCTACCTTATGAACTACTTTTATTGACTCTTGAAGTTTTTTTTTTTTTTTTTTTTTTTTTTAGTTTTTAATGCAGACTTGATAGCAATTTAATACTTGAAATAGTTTGATCATCAAATGATAAAATAATGATTCTAGGTTGAGAAAGATTTACCCGACAAGTAAAACTTATTGCTTTACCATAATGTAAGCCAAATTTGAGGTGAATTATTTTAGTTAGACTTTTAAATTATTAATTTAACCGTCCTAATAAAAGTTTATTTTGCATTTTTAACTTTGATGAATAACATGGAGCTTATTTAGCCCTTTTCTTCTTAATTTTATTGTATTCTTTTGCGAGACAGCAAAATTATGAAAGAATTGTAGTGTTTTAGTGCTACAAATTTTACTCTTGCACGTTTTCACTACATCAATTTTGAACAAAATTATATTATAATAACAAAAATCAAAGTGCATGAAACACAATTTCCAGGAAATTAAGGGGAAACATTCTTCCAATACTGGTACAATACTCTTTCAATGGTAAATGGCTTTCAAAAATTTTGAAGAAAGGTTTGAATACTTTTGAAAATGGTAAATGGAAACTTCAAAGAAATTAAAGAAAAACTTATGAGAAACTCTACAAAACTTACATCATAACTTGATGAACTTGTCACAAAACATTTTTGTATGGCTAAAATAACAACAGTGTTAAGTGCATAGATACAAAATATAGAATGGGACACAAATGTACGAGACATCGGTGTTCCATCTTATATTTTTAGGGTGAGTTTGACATATTAAAAATATCAATTTCTAAATTTTTTTTAACTTTGGAAAAATTTTATATTTTTTAGGCCATCTTATGTTGATGAATTCAAAAAGTTTTAAAAAAAAAAATGTAAATTAAATTATATATATTTTTTAAAAAAAATTAGGTAATGTTTGGGTTAGTTTTTAAATTAATATTTGGATGAAAAAAAATCAAAAAAACATGTTTGGTTAACAAATTATCAAAACTCTTTTTAAAATTATTTTTTCTCTCTCCTTCTCTTTTTTTTTATTAATAAATTAATCAATCACTTTTTTTTCTCTCTTCTCTCTTCTCTCATTCTTTCATATTCTACAGGTCAATTAATTAAATTTTTTTGTACACCCATCTACTTAATTAAAAAAAATTTGCAAATTATCCCAAAATTATTTTCAAAACTCATAATTAAATAAATTTTTAATTTTTAAAATCCTTTTTTTTTTACACACATCTACTTAATTAAAAAAAATTTGCAAATTATCCCAAAATTATTTTCAAAACTCATAATTAAATAAATTTTTAATTTTTAAAATTCTTTTTAACAACTTATCTTTTAAAATACAACTCAAATTAAAACTCAAAATTCTTCTCAAAAACTAAACCAAACAGAATTTTTATATATATTTTTTTAATAACTTTTTCAACCTATCTAGCGGAATAGAACCAAAAAAAATTTAAAAACAATAAAATAAAAAATCTTAACTTTAATTTGTGAATGGAATATTATATTCTCTCTCTAACCTCATTGAGGAAGACTAAAATAGAAATGAACAAGAACGCACGTGCAATCCACGAGTCAATTGTTAAAAGTATGTCGTTGGATTTAGGGTGATGTCTATAAAATATCAAACAACAATCAAGACTGAGTCATTCGAGTCAAAAACAATCATCTTATTTATTTATTTATTTTTAAAGCCAAATCAATTCTTCCTTTATATCATTGACTCCGTTTGGTGTAGCTGTTAAAACAACTTATAGATTATACCTTAACAGATTATACATTATGACTTTAATCAGAAATTATTAATCTGTTTGGTGTAGCTGTTGGATTATAGATTTAAGTTGCTGAGTAGTGTTTGTTAAATAAGGTGTGAAATAACTTTTTCAATTAATTTTTATTTTTTGTTTGTCTACATTTCTCATAAAAAATAATAATAATATTCTATAGTCCATTTGAGTTTTTTTCTATTTTAAAAAAAATAAAAAAATAAAAAAAATTTAAGAGTATAACCATAAATTAACATGTCCACAGCAGAAGCTGATAATCAGAAGTAAGGGGTGAGCAGCTTCTCAGAATCAGCTTTTTTCACTTAAAATAAGCTGTTAGAATCAGAAGTTGTTTGAAATAAGTTTAACCAAACAGTCCAAAATAACTTTTTCAAAACTAAAAGCCATAAGTTGGTTCTGAAAAGCTGTAACAAACACCCCCATTGTTAGGGCTGAGCAAGAAATCCGTGAAATCCGTAATCTGATCCAGTCCAGTCCAATCCGATAGGTTTGGATTGATTTTTTGAATCCGTGGTTCGGTTTCGGATTGAAAAATTAAAAATCCGTAGTACACGGATTGGTTCCGGATTGAACCCCACGGTTCCAGATTGGAACCGATCCAGACCGTATACAAATAGTATATATTTTTATTATACATCATCCCACATAGTATCTTCTCTTATTCTATATAAAATATAAACTCAAACCTAAAACCGTATAATATCTTCTTTTATTACTTTTGTTTGTTAGTTTTTAGTTAAGCCTCTGTTTGGCAAGTTGGTTCTTGGGTTTTTTTGGCTATTTTAGCCACAAAAGACAAAATAGGCTATTTTAGCCATAACAAACAAAACATCACATCCAACCCATAATCATTACATTTTTCTCTCACAAAAAAAAGCTCAAAAAAGCCAAAAAGCCAAAAAGCCCTTCCCAAACCAAGCTTTTAAGCCCAGGCTAAAAAAGCCAAAAAGCCAAAAAGCCAACCCACTTCCCAAACGGAGGCTTAATTTGTAATGGTCTAAATACTTATAGTGAAACCAATTTTCTTATAGTTGTTTAAATTCTAGCACAGTATGTCGCTATTATAGAAATAGATATTGCTATTGTGGAACTAATATAGCGCTATGTTTATATTTTTATGAAATTAAAGTGTTATATATATTTTTTTGTTATTTAATTATGTGAATCCGTGGTCCTAAACCGATCCAATCCGTATTGAAATGGATTGGTTCGGATTGGTTCGGATTGGTACCATGATTTAAACGGATTGGATTGGTTCCAATTTTTCAAGAACCGTAGATAACGGATTGGTCCTGATTTTACCCCAATCCGATCCAATCCGAACCATGCTCACCCCTACCCATTGTCCAATCAGAATTCAAGGCTGAGACAGGGATTGGACCATCCCATTGAGGATTAATTATTTTGATAAGGAAAAAGTTAGGAAACCAGATTTATCATCTTAGAATTTGATAGAATTGATTTATATGATGGAGATTAAATTATTAAGTATGAAGGTTCATGAGTGAAATAGATTGTAGTCATTGATTGTTATTTTTAGATAAAATTTGAATAAATTTTTTTTGAATTTGTAGTCTTCCTCTTTTGATAATGGGAATCGTTGATATTTATGTAAAAAAATAAAATTAATTAAATAATCGTAAACACATGATTTAATGGATGGTCAAATTTTTAAATCATATTGATTATTACTTTTTTACAACAAATTTGAAATAATCATGTGATTATAGTTGATAGATTAGTTTATTTTCTTATAAAAATGATCTGCTTAAAGAGTTT